TGTGCTTAATGTCACCTTCCCAGATGTCTCCCTGTGCAAATGTCCTCCCCTTCCCTGCATTAGTTTTCTCTACAGCACTTGTCACCATCTGACATATGCTACATATGTTTTATTTTTACTTGTTTATCGAAAAGAATATAAGAGCAGGGACTTGGGTGTGTTCACAACTATATGCCAAACCCTAGAAGGGTGTTCAGCACTCAGTCCACACTCAAATGTGTGTTGAGTGAATGAATGTCAGTTGAATGAATGAATGATTGTTGAAAGAATAAATGGCTGTGAGTAAATATGGCAGCCACCATTGTGGCTAGCTTAGTGTCAGGGTTACTGGGATGGTAAATCTCCCATTTAATAGTATGTGAACTTGACCAAGTACTCAAGTTCTAGATCTGTTTCCTTCATGTGGGAAATGCGGTAGCAAGAGTACCTAACTCATAGGGTGTCCAGTGAGTATAAAGCACTTAAAATAGTGCCTGGCACATAGCAAGCACCCAGTGAATGTTACTATCACCATGGATTTTATTTTATTTCTTTTTTAGTTTATTGAGCTGCCAAATAAGTTCTAGGTGCCGTCCTCAGCACTTTTCATAAATCACCTGATTCTTACAGGAGCCTTACAAGATAGACATTGTTACATCCATTTTATATGTGTGGAAACCAAGGCTCAGCATGTAAGAAATCTGCCCAGGGTTGTTCAGTTAGCATGTGTCTGGGCTGTGCAAGCGGGAACATCATTGGAGGTGGATTCAGGAGAACAGCCTTGTCCTGCCCACAGACCTAGAAGCTAAAGGAAGACTCAGAACAGGCCAGAGCTGGGCAACAAAGAGGAAGCTTGGCCCAAGATGAGCCTCCTAGAATTTACTCCTTCATTTATGCAACAAAGAGTCATGGGGCACCTGCAAGTGCCAGGGATGGGTTTAGTGGCCGGGGCTACAGCAACAAGACAAAATCTCTGTGCACATGGAGCTGATACTCTAGTAGGGCACATGCTAACGTAAACACAAATAAATGTGGGCTAATAACCTGTGTTGTCGAGGCTGCAAAGAAAAATAGAAAGGGTGATAGGGTTATGGGGGATCAGCCCTGCAGCTGGGGGGAGTGGCTGCATCAGATAGGGTCAGAGGAGGCATTTCAATCACTTGAGTGAGATAAGACTCGTACAATGAATTGAGGGGTGCCCAGGACAAGGGTCATGAGTCAGGAAACAGCCTGGCACCCCCAAGAGATGGCAGGAAGGCTTGTGAGCATGAAAACACGAGTATCGGATTGTGTGGCAAAGGCCATCTCATGCAAGGTTTTGTAGGCCCAGGTGAGGAGTTTATCCTCAGTGTAGTGGGAAGCCACTAGAAGGTTTTAAGTAAGGGGAAGTATGTAAGTGTTTGCTTGGAAAGGATCACTCTGGCTGTTGTGTGGACCATGAGTTACATGGCAGGGCAGGAGTGGAAGCTGGAGCTACCCAGGGCCCCTGAGTTTGTCGGAGTCTGAGATGTCGGTGGTCTGCACCACTGCGAGACTCTGGGCTGAAAATGGGAGAAGTGCTTTGCTCTGGGATATATTTTGGAAGCAGTATCAGTAAGACTCGGTGATGGATTGCATGTAGGTCAGAAGGAAAATAAGAGAGGGAAGTATTATTCCCCAATTTTTGGTCTAAGCCACTAGGAAGGTGGAGGCTTTACTTACTCAGATGGGGAAGACTGAGGAAAGAGGGGTTTGGATATATTTGTTGGGGGTCAGCAATGGGAATTCAAGAGTTCCATTTTAAATACGCGTGGCTTGAGATGCCTGCTGGACATGCAAGTGGAAATGCCGAGGAGGCAGTTAGATATATAAGTCTGGGCTGAGATGAGTCCAGGCCAGAGATATAGTTGGGAATTGTCATCAATTAAGGTAACAGGACTGGGTGAAATTACCCAGGGAGGGAGTGTAGAGAGAGAGGACAGACCAGCCTTGAGACTGAGAAGGGGAGGTTGGCAGGGAGAAAGCAGGAGAGGGTGGGATCCCAGATGTCCCAAGAAGATTATGTTTCCAGAAAGAGCACACGGTCAACCATATCAGATGCTGCTGAGAAGCTGTCCCGGGGGAGACAGCATTGTCAGCTGTGTTTGTCAGGGTGCGTGTTCCTCATGATCTTCACAAAGGCAGTCTCTGTGGAGTGGTAGCAAGGATCCAATCAAAGTGGGATGAGGAAAGAAGGGGAGGCGAGCAGACACTATTCTTCAAGGAGTTTCACTCTAAAAGGAAGCTGAGACAAGGGGCAGTGGCTGCAGAGGGATGAGGCCCAAGACACAGTAGCCGTGTTCATATGGGAATGATGGGGTAGAGGAGTGGATTCTCTCTGGTAGCAGACAGCCATGCACAGGAGACTGACGCATCTTCCCTGTCTGGGCAGTTTTAGACACATCCGGGTGGCCCCCACCTTGTAACACCTCCATCTCCTCCTCTGTGAATTATCCAGTTCACAGATGCTGCTGGCTACAGGTGTGAAAGAGGAAATGAATGAAATCAGATAATTTATTTAAAAGCCATGCTCTTTCTGGACTCTTCTAAAGGTCTCTCATTGAGTCTGTATCAAGGATTGGGATTCTCTAGGGATGGACCCAAGAGTCTCTCTTCTTCTGTGCTGTTGGTGGATCTGATGAGCAGCCAGCCCTGAGAACCACTAACTAATGCCAACATTATTGCTATGAATATCATGACTATCATCCTAGCATCAAAAGTCCAGTTTAACTGGAATAGGGGCATAGGAGTCGAGGTCTGATTTCTGACCCAGCCCTTTATTTCTTGCTGTCTAACGGGTAATGGAACATGTTGTTTTGCTCAACATCCAAGAACCCTCTGAGCCTGGCCTCATCATTCCTCTCTTGCCTCCCCTCTCTCGACAACCTCTTCACAAACTTGACTTACACTGGACTCTGCATCCACAGGGATTTGTGCTGTGAATGTCAAGTAGAAAGTTTCCATTGCATTTCTGTCCAATCAGATCCCCTTCCTGGAGGCAACCTGTGATGCCACGTTGTTGTGTATCTCTTCCAAGGTTTGTGTCTATCTCTGCATGCACGCACACATGCACCCCTCCATACACACACTTCTTTATCACACAAATTATTGCATATTATACACAAAGTTCTGTACCTTGCCCTTTGCATTTAACAATATATCTTGATCTTCCCATATCAGAGTATAGAAAGTCACTTGTGCTTTAATGTGTGCATAATTGCCACTATATAGATGCGTCATAATTTACTTAAATAGTCCATTGCTAAAGGACACTTGGGTTGTTTCAGTTGTTCACCATTAGAAGTTGCGCACCAATATAGAGGATGTTGCAATGAGCAGTCTTTGCACCGTCATCACCTAGCTGCAAAAGCCATTAGCGTTGGGATTCTCCAAGAAGATGTAGGAAGGGGAAAAAGTTTAATGGAAAGTTTGAGATAAGTGAAAACTAGTGTAAAGAGCCCCGGCCTGGAATTTAAGTGTTCCTAACTCCCAAAAGTAATAACAAAGTCCCCTTTGAAGTCCCTAGCTTCTTGCAATATACAAAAATAATTTAATATTTGTTAACTCATTGAATCATTAGGGAAAAAATATCCTGTGAGAAGCTATGTTTTTCTCCAGCTTCTTGACTCACTAGTTGTATGACCTAAAATAAATTTCCAGTTTGTCTATATCCTGGTTAACGTATCTATAAAATAGGGATAATAAAGTACCTACCTCATAGGATCATTTTGAGCAGCAGATGAGCTATTCATGTAAAGTGCTTAGAACAGGGTTTATCATATAGCAAGAGTTCAGTAAGCGTGAGCTATTATGATCATTTTGTAAGTGAGGAAAGGAAAACACAGAGCAATCAAGTATAAAGTCACCTAGCTCATAAAAGCTACAACTGGTGCAGGGACCCAGGTCTCCAGGCCCCCAAACAAGTCACGCCTCTCAAGCATGAGGTCTTAGGGATATGTTCACGGAATAGTGATTGGTGTCCTGGCACAGAAGCAATAGTAATATTGCCATAGAGGTTTGGCTGACCGTGTTCAAGGGGATTAGTTCAGCCTCACAGTTAGTGCTGTAGTTCATCAAATTGAAGATGTCATCACATATAACACCGTTACATGAACTGCAGAGAAGGAAGGGAGGGATGGAGGGAGGGAGAAAGAGAAAGAGAAAACCTGCCAATTAAAGCTATAGGATACTGTGCTGGTTATTAAGCTATTGTCTCTCAGCTCCAAACTTACCCTCAATGCTCTGCTCTGTGATGCAGGGGCTGGGACCTGCATGCCTCATCTGCCCTTTGACAAGAGGGGCATTAGAGGAGGAGGGGCAAGGAGCTCGGTCCTTTTGGTTTGGTTGAATTTCCTACCAGTCCCAGCAGTGAACTTGGCAGTTGAGTCTAGTTCCCAGCTTATGTCTACTCCCCAGAACATGGTGCCCCTCAGAGTAGCAGCCCCAGTGGGCCACTGCCCACCCTTGGAGGTAAGCCAGGTGTTGAGGGCCCCTCTTCCAAGCCCTCCAAAGTGTCAGCTCCATATGGGCAGCACCCCTCTTCAGAGATCCCCCTTTGACATCTCAGTTCCCCAGTGCCTGCCTAACCAACTCACTATGTTAAATTCTCTCTGTTAAAAGCACTAGAGTAGTTTCCATTTCCCTGCTTGAGTTCTGACTCATGGATTGTAGACACACGTTGACTTCAGAAATGTTAAGTGAAGGTCTTAGAACTGGTGACATAGAGTAGTGCGTCGGGGAGTTCATAGATCGCAACAGTGCCTAATCAGCCCTGGTGGTGAACCCAGAGGAAGGAAATGCCTTGGTCAGGGTCACACAGCCAAAGGTGGCAGTGGGGGCTCCTGGGGCTCTGGCCCCTGTTCCTGACCCTTAAGCCAATGCTTTTCTACTGTGCCTGAGTCTTGCTCTGCTGACCATTTTGAAGGGCCTGACCCCTGCTCCTGGGATGGGTAGGTTGACGTCCTCATGATGGACCTTCTCATCAAACCACCCTTTTTTTCCAGGAAGTACACTCTGCTGGTCAACAATGGGTTTGCGATTTCGGCTGCATTGCTGATGGCCTGTTCCCTGCAGGCAGGAGCCTTTGAAATGCTCATTGTGGGACGCTTCATCATGGGCGTGGATGGAGGTGAGCCTTCACCAAGGTGGGCTGGTCATGATCCTTGGGGGTGTTTCAGAGTGGTTTTTGGTGGTGTTTCAGAGTGGTGTTTTGTCACATGACAGGGCTCCTACTAGTATTGAGTTGCCAGGGACCAAGGATGCAAAAAGTCTGCATAAAGGGGGTCAGTCCCATGAGATGAACCACTCATGAGGCCCTAGCATGCTAATTGAGAAATACTAACTGGGAGAGATCCAAGTCAACTCCAGAGACCTGGATGGTCTTCAGTAAGTGGTGCCTTTTGCTTTGTCATCGTCACTATAAAATTCATATTCCAAGGTTGTCTGTGGTTTCCAGGGAGTTTTTGATGAGGGTTGTGTTTCCTGTCCGGGCCTCTGGCTTCTTCATTCTTTCATGTATTCCCTGAGCATTCGTTTATGGAGCACCTGCTGTGCTCGGTGTTCTTCTCCATGCTGGGGACACAGTGGTGAATGAAATCCCCCAGTCCCCACCCCTGCACCTTACATTCTAGTGGGTAGATGGATACATAACTGGATACATAAGGTAGATAGTAGCAAGCCCTAGGAAAAAATGAAGCAGGACAGGAGGACAGTGGGGGCTATTTTAGATAGGCCAGCCAGGGAGGACCACTCAGTGGAGGAAACATATGAGCAGAGACCGGAATGAACCAAGAGTGAGAACCAAGTGAGTATCAGGGGAATTGAGTTCTTGACCAAGAGAAGAGTGTACTGGCCCTGAGATGAAGTCGTGCTTGGTACATTAAAGGGAGAGTGAGGGGCCAGCATGGCTGGAGCTCGGTGAGCTGGGGGACAGTGGTTGCAGATGAGGTTGAAGAGGGGCCGGTCACATCATGTAGCACCTTGTAGGATTTGTTCCAAGGGCAATGGGAAGCCAGAGGAGGGTTGAGAGAAATGTGACATGAGCTGGTTTTGTGTTTCAGTAAGATTCCTCCTGCTTCTGCATAGAAAAGAGTTTAAAGGAGGGCAGGAGTGGAATCAGGGAGCCAGTTGTCCAGGGGAGAGAGCCATGGGGGGCAAGATGGCGGCCAGGATGCAGCAAGGTGCCCCTGGCTGCTGGCTGTGGGGTGTGAGAGAGCAGGAGCCTCAAAATATATTGTTAAAACCAGCCTACCAACCAACCAACCCTGCTTTTTTTCTAAATATTGCAAGTGTGTAAGGTATTAACTTGTAGGCATTTGTGGAAAGATTACAAGCTTTTGGATTAGAAATGTCTGCCTTTGTGTTGGAGCTCTGCTCCTTATCAATTACTGACTTCTGGCAAGTTGCTTAATGGCTCTGAGACTCAGTTTCCCCATTTGTAAAATGGAAATAACAATACCTACTTTGAAGGGCTGTCATAATGCTGACATGATGCCATATGTGTGTGTGTGTGTATTCATATGTGTGTGCCTATATGCACACACACACACATATATATATATATAAAGTCTGCCAAATGCTGTTGTAACCTGTGAGCTTGTTAAAGGCTAATTCCCTTCCTTGCTAATTCTTGCATGCTGCGGGCACCAGGCTTTGGGAGTGAGCTGAACAACAAGTATACATCAGGGAGAGGTAAGCAGGAGAGTGAGGGCCTGAGGAAGATCAGGGCAGAACTCTTCCTGTCCCTTCCCTGCTCTGCTGGCAGGAAATATTCAGGATTAGTAATAACCAGACTCGGGGTGAAATTACTGCTCTGTCTTGGTATTCAAGTAGAAAGGAGTTGGCTATAGAAAACGTTAATTGGAGTTTATGTGGTGTTTTACAATTAACCAGTCCTGTTCATGGTTTCTTCTGCTCTGGTCTCCTGCTAATGCTGAAGGACTGTTATTTTGTTATTTTACATCAAGGACACTGAGGCTCAGAGACGTGCAACAGTAAAGTGGTTAAGGCTGAGGGCTGCGCATTCACACTGACTGGGTTTTCCCACTCACCTAGCTTAATTTCATTACTTTGTATCAGTTAGATTTTGCTACATTTAAAACAACAACAACAACAACGGGAGGGTAATGGCTCCGAGCAATAACCGTTTTGCTGAGCTGGGAGTTCCCTGGGCTGGTGGGGCCGTTCTGATGTGGGCCAGCTCGGTGGCTCTCTGCTGGGCTCTCTCCCACACCGTGGTGGCTGCAGACCAGTCAGCAGCGGGGTGACTTCAGATGGTCTCACTCACCTGTTTGGCTGTTGGCAGCTGGGTTGGTCTCAGGGGATCCCAGCAGGGCCAGCTCATCTCACCTCCACATGGTCTCTCAGCCTGCCATACGGAGGGCGGTCCAGTCTTCCCACGGATCCTCAGAGTGCCAAAGAGTGGTACCGGGGGCAGGACCCCAAGTCACTGCTCATGGCACGTTTGTCAGTGTCCCATTGGCTAAGACAAGTCTCATGACCAGGGGCACCATCAATGTCGGAGGGACCTGAACCCCCAGGGATGCAGACTCGGGGTGCTGTGAGCCCGTGGGGCCCCACAGCAGCATTCTGCCTCACTGTCTCAGCCTCTTTCCTGGACCCAGCAAAGGGGCTTAATCAAAAAGCCCCCTGTGGTGGTATGCAAAAATTAACTGATGGGCGTGAAGCGCTCGGTACATTCCAGACCTATCGTGCCTTTGCCCATCGCCGGGAGTGGTGATGGGATCATTGCCGTTCTTGGTGCTATTCTTTTTATTCACAGCTAATAAGGTACAGATCCTGGGTGTGGCCCGCGATGCCTGGTTTCAAGGGCCCTGCCTGCTCAGGACAAAGGCTTGGTGAGATGTGGAATGAATGGCCTTTCCCAACAGGCCGCAGAGGGTCTCCCTTTCTGGCAGATTTACATTTTATCCATTAGCCTCTATCCAGTCGTTTTGCCTCTCTGGGTCTTCTGGGGGAAGTGACACTGCACATAACTAGTTTCTCTCTGAGTTTCCTTAATGAAAAATAGGCTGGACTTGAAGAGAGAGGCCATATTCAAGTCAGATGTCTGTTAGACCTCTTTTCAGATGAGTTTTACAAAAAGAAACAGAAAAAAAAGTAAGAACAAGGAGGGGAGAAAAAAAACAGACTCCTCTGACTTCTGGAGTGCAGCCTGTTGGAGGTGGAGGTTTCATGTCATTTATTCTCATCAAACCCTCTCAAAGCAAAGATGGGGATTTGCAGGTATTTAAAGGAAGGCATTTGGTCAGAAAGAAGGGAAAATTGCTGGCTAGGAGATGAATTGGCTGTCCTGCTTATAATAAATAATTTAAAGCCGAGTGATAAGCCTGGAGGATTTTCAGAAGGCTGTGCTGCTCCATCCAGCCAGGTTTGTGGGCAGTATTTGGAACCATAGTAGAAATCCAGGACACCTCCCCCAAGTGTCCTTTCTCTAAAAAGCTTGGCGAAAGAAGAAACATTTTTATACTGAAACAGTCTTGACGCAGCTTGGTGTTAGAGGCAAAATCCATGCAGATGGTAAAGTCAAAGTAGAAGGGTACAGAGGTGTTTTGTGTGTGTGGAAGATTGCACTGGACAGGTTCCTGCCAAGCTGTCCCATACAGCCCGCACTTCCAGAGGTGCAAGTCCATGTCCGTGGCATCAGGAGCTCTCTGATGGACAAGCTCGGCTACCACAGTAGGTAGTCTCTGGTGGACATAATAGGGCAGCTTTTAGAGAAGCGTATGACGTGGAAAGAACATGAAATCAGGGTCAAGACTTGGCAGTCTTGGGTTGGTCTCAGGGGATCCCAGCAGGGCCAGCTTATCTCACCTCCACATGGTCTCTCAGCCTGCCGTACGTAGGGCGTATGGGACAGCTGGAGTAGAACCAGACTTTAAGTTCTGGTTCTACTCCAGTGACTTGCCAGGTAACCATGGGCCCAATATTTTACATCTCTGGGCCAGTAACATCACCTAGAAAGTAAGGAGGATCGGACTCTAGGAGCTGAGGTTGTGACCAGCTCTAAAAATCTGCTTTGGCTCCTTTTTGTACTCACTGTAGAGCGACTATCTTGAGCGTTCTCTTGAAGCTTCTGGAATGCACACGCCACGCATAGCTGTATTGTTTACTCATTAAACAACATCACAGGGATGCCTGGGTGGCTCAGTCGGTTAAACGGCTGCCTTCGGCCCGGGTCATGATCCCAGGGTCCTGGGATCGAGTCCCACATTGGACTCCTTGCTCAGCAGGGAGCCTGCTTCTCCCTCTCTCTTCCTCTTCTTGGGCTCTCTCTCAAACAAATAAAATCTTTAAAAAAAAATCACAGAATAGGAGATTGTGAATTAAGAGTATAGGGCAGAAACACTGGCCCCCCTGTGTGGTCAGCTCATGTGTACCATGCCCCGAGGACCTACCAATTATGTCCCAGCAAGACTGTGGGCTGCTCTTATAAGCAAATTATTTGTTATTTATCATTATTCTGCCTACTGCCCCAAAGATGTCCACATCCTCATCCCTGGAACCAGCACATGTGAGCGGATACAGCAAGGGGACTTCGTAGATATGATTACGTTAAGGACTGTGAGATGGGGTGCTTACCCTGGGTAATCCAGGGGGGTCCCGTAAGATCATGGGGGTCCTGATAAGTGAAAGGGGAAGGAGGATTCAGAGCCAGAGAAAGGAGATGGGGGAGTGAGAGCAGACACTGTAGTGATGCAGCCGCCTGGAGGGGCCATGAGCCAAGGGGTGCGGGCGCCTCCGGAAGCTGGGAAAGGCCAGGAAGCCGACTGTCCCCTAGAGCCTCCAGAAGGATCACAGCCCTGCCATCACCTTGATTGTAGCCCAAGTCCCCTTTTAGACTTGGGACCCCCAGAACTGTGTGAAAACACATTTGTGGTGTTTACATCCCTAGGTTTGTGGCAATTTGTTACAACAACTGTAGGAAACTAGTAAAAACACTAATAATATTATTCATTTATTATTATGATTTGAGTCAAATTTTAACTCGACAAAGAGCATGTGAGGTGTTCAGAAGGATGGATTCTGGCCCCAGCCCTGCTGCTTACCAGCTGGGTGACCTCAGACAAGCTTCTTTACCCCTCGGGGCTTCCGTTTCCTCACAAGTTC